AAATCATATCATTTTTATTTCAGATTAAGGACTCTAAATCATATATTGATTTAGTTCTGAAAGAGTCAAATGAAAGAAACCGGAAGATTATTTTACTCTGGTTTGGACCTTTTCCGTCCATTTCCGTTACCCATCCGGATATGTTTAAATAGCTTTCAAAACAGGTGTCATTAAAGGTTCGAGGATCCATGGACGGTTACAGGTTCTTTGAGCCTTGGCTAGGTAGGCCTATTCCACTATTTACATATATGATCTTTTGGATGAAATCAAATATTTCTGTCTACAGAAAAGTAAAATAGGTCGTCGCAAAACAGTGAAATAAATATACAGCATGAATTGAAATAATCTTTAAGTGCGAAAAAATAAATGTAATTTCTTCATTTCTTACGGTAAGTAAGCTAGATGGTGACACGTATTATGTGCTGAAAAATTAAAATTTTCTATGGCTGAGGGTTGAATGTTTCTGACTTTGAAAACCTTGCCCTCATCCTTATGGACTCGAATTCAGCTCAGGAAGTTTGGCTATTTTCATGTGGAGGTATCCGTGGAACTAGTTTACGGAAGGTCGGTGGCCCTACTAAGGCACATGCTTGTATTTGAAATAAGGCACGAAGGCACGTTTTTATTTTAGAAATTCCTCTACCAGTAAATCTGTATTGAGACTTCTTGGTGCGGCTTATATAATTATAATTATAGTAGTATTAATGATAATAACAAATTTGGAATAAGACAATATAAATTATTTAGTTGACCAATCATATTTCATTCTATTACAATACGTACACTAGTAACATGCTTGTTATATTCAGGAGAGGGTTTACTTATCAGTGGAGGCAAAAAATGGGAACGCAACCGGAAGCTTCTGACGCCAGCGTTTCATTTCAACATTCTGAACGGCTACGTTATCGTGATGAACAGCGTTGAAGATATTCTAATGGTAAGATAAACTTGGGAATCAAATCGCGTCCTTATACATGTTAACATATGGTAATCGATGGGGCTTTTTTTTTAAATGTTAACAAGGTGCGTTAACAGTGGTTGTCATATAAACATTAAACGTGAGTAAATTTTGATAATTATATGACAATTTGAAGTACAAATTTTACAATTTAAGTGTAAAATTTACCGTTAAAAGTGCGAATATTACAGATATGGGAAAAAGTTGAATGCCAACATTGCACTAATATATTTCCGTACATTTTTGACTGGACCTTTTTTTGGTGAAAAATAACCATGAGAAGGCCCCTTTCGAGTATTTATTACCTCTTAATTTCATTTATTATTTTATCACTTTAAAACTCATAGGGAAAACATTGGCCTTGCGTTGATAACAGTTGGCGATATCTCAACTCGGGGATAGTGAGTTGATCTCCATTCAGGCCAGAACCATGTTTCTTCACTACTACGAAACGCCATGAAGCTTCGAAAGTGATTTGAACCCTTAACCTGAATTCAAAAGCAATAAGTCTTGTCCAACAGTGTATAGCCGGGCAAGACTGCCTGGATGAGGCTGTATAAAATCAATAACTCAATTTTGGTATTTTTACATTGAGATCCCTTTCACTTTGAATGTACTGTTACCAATTCAAAGTGGGAAAATCCATTACATAAAAAGGTGCTTATATAAAATGTACAGAACGAATAATAAAAAATCAGTACAGATTTTTCTTTTAGGAAACGTTTACAGATGCTGCGAAGAATGATGAACCGGTTGACATTTTTCCTCACGTGTGCCGGGCCTCTCTTGATACCATGCTACGTTGTTCTTTATCATACGAGGAGGACCTGCAGAGTACCACGTATGTTGTTTACCCGAAAAATAATTTTAAAAAATATCAAAGTAACATGTATATTATTCCAAACGACACACAAACAATATACTCAGTCTTATATCTCAAAGCTTTAAAATATGATATTATATTTTTTGTAGGTATTTTGGAAAATTTTGTCACTTTCGTAGTTTCTATAAGCCGATTGGATAGTTGCATTCGTATCTCAAGAGCAATATAAATTGATTTTTTAAGAATCAAATATGTCCATATATATAAGAAGTAAATGGCGTAATGGGTTGCTTTCTCATACAGGTTTATTCTATTTTATTTCCATCTAATTTCCAGTGTTTCCGAATACTTAAACATTGTCAAAAGACTGTCACAAATAAACTGGGAACGGTCACTGTAAGTAACAGCTACTATTACATTTATTCTTTGTAACAATTTATTAAGAATAAAAAAAGATTTACATTCAAAATAATTAACCAGTTAAAAAAATCTAAAGAATCAAAATAAAGAAAAGAAGGGAAGAAATACATACATGTACAAATATAACATATTTTAACTGGTATGAATGTCCTCAGATTATTGTCAGATTATTGTCAGTTTGTTGTCAGATTATTGTCAGATTGTTGTCAGATTATTGTCAGATTATTGCCAGATTGTCAGATTATTGTCAGAAATAATGAAATGGAAATGTGTTTTGTAGAAATCTGTCATTGCTGTCGGATACGATGTTTAACCTTTCCTCACTTGGAAGAGAATTTTATAAACTTTGCGACCAGGCTCACAAGTTTACAGGAGACATCATTGAGTCGAGAAGAAAAGAACTGGTAAACACTGTTAATATGAAACATTTTCTTGAAATATATTTGGCATAGAAAGAACTATGAAATATTAAAGAATGAGATGCGACCATATTAACAAGGCAGTTTCATATAAATACAAATCGCGACTGTGGAGAGGTAGTTTATGCTTTGGTTCAAATTGAAGCCTGCATGTCGTCATGAAAGCACAGCATAGAGTTGGCTTTGACAGTCATTTAACAGTCATTGATCTTGTCCTTTAGGGTCATTGATTTCAATCCTTTTAATCGATATTGACCGAATACCGCTTGAGTCGGTGCTCGAGTGGGTGCAGGAGCAGGTGCTTGTGACGTTAGACATGATGCACCTGTCATTTCCTCTCCTGATCCTTGAGTTATGAGGAAAACACTTAACTTGCATTGATACAACTCTCATGAGTTGTCTTATAAATCATACAAATGAGATGCATTGAAAACCATGCCGTCGTCTGTTAACTCTACAAATGGCCGAATTGATCCTATGCTCGATACATGTTTAATTTAAATTGTAGATATTAATCAAATCTATTATGGTAAACTGCGTATATACATGGATGAACAAAATTCATTCAGGGGTGTTTTATATTTAAGATGAAATTTTTGTTCTATAGTTTTATTCCTCAAACTTGTGTACATGTAATGCTAAATGTCTTTCTATACATGATTTAACAATAATATTATCCACAGATTTTGAGAAATGTCTTGAATATATATTATTTCCTGCTAAATGATATATTATCAGAATAGTTACCTAGCAACAATGTATTCATCGAATATCATTTCATTTTAAGGATAAGCAGCAGAATGACATGACTGAGAAGCGCCGTCTGGATTTCTTAGACATATTATTAACTGCACGAGATGAACATGGGCTCGGCTTGTCTGCACAAGAAATACAGGATGAAGTCGATACGTTTACATTTGAGGGTATAAAAATACATGCATACATGTATATATACATAAATGTATTAAAACGTGAATAATTTTCATTGTACAGTGTTGAAATATAAATGATATTTAAGAAAAAACAACAAATTCAATAATTGTAATTATTTCGGCAGCGCTTCCAATGATTGCTGTGCATATCATCAGCCAAATATTCTAATTGTATCTTTTTATGATAAGAACGTCAAGGTCATACATATTAAAGTTAAATATTTAATCGCCTATGAATTTAATATTGGGGTAAATTTGCGTTTTATGACGTAAAAAAATTAAAAAAACGCTGATGAATCAAGAATATTTAGCACGCTTGATTTTAAAAGCTATACCTTCTTTATATTCACAATATTAAATTTAAGGTTTTTTCGCCTAGTAAAGATACAAGTGCTGGTAAATCCCACTCGCCCGGGATAAGCTTAAACTCGAATAACCTGTTCAGGGGGTTTGTCACAATTTATATTGGTGTGAAGTTGCTTTTTTTTTTATTTGTCATAAAAAGCAAATGTATTCATATTCATTATGGATATATAGATATATATTAGTGTACACGATAGAGCTACATGTATAAGTATAATTATATGTACATCTTACGACATGTAAATGTATATACACAAATTTACCCGGGACATCTCGTAATAATAATGTATGTAGTACATACATATTTTTCGCTTGCATGTCATAACAATAACAAAAAATATAAATTGTATAAAAGTACAAAAATGTAGCAAAACATTTGACTCCTGGGCTCCATGGGAAAAATGGTACTATATGAATATGTTCAAGCCGGAAATGCCTCCGCCATTTTTCTTAATGGCTCGGATATCCTATTTGTTTTACGCATGCGCTCTAAAAGGGGCAAAACGCTATTTTAAAAAAATATAATTCTATTTGTTAACACTCTAGGTCATGATACAACATCGTCAGCCATTAGCTGGACAATCTTTGCTCTTGCTAAACATCCAGTCCTACAAGAGAAGGTTTTCAGTGAAGTCAGAAATATCATTGGAGGGAAGGACAGCTTATCACCGTACGTTTTCCGACACCTTCTTCGTTTTTAGCTCGACTTTTATGTTTATTTAAAAGAGAGGGATGCCCTACTTACTCGGGCGTCGGCGCCTGTGTCACGCTTTTGGTTGAGTTTTTTCGTACCGCCCCACTTATTATTTTTACATCTTTAATTTGCGTTGAGTTACGAGGGCTGTTCGAAAGGAATTGCCTATTGTCCTCGATGTCGTGATCCACGTGGGACACACATACCTGTATTTGGTAATTCAATACCTACACAACGGTGTATAAATGTACAGGTTAGACTAAGTGTAAGACATACAATTTGCCATTTAAATACATGCAGTCATTGACCACTGTATAGAAGCGTCGACAAAAAAGATGAAATGCGGGCTCGCTCAAAACTGGGTTGACCTTTGAAGCAGCTGATGACTGAACTCTCTACTGCTTATGGGCCTTCTTGTGTGTCTAATGACACAGGCGATAGAAAAAGAAATTTGAGTCTAGTGTAGAGTGCATCAAAAATGCACCAAAATCAGGTAGGCCAAAATCTGCATCTCATAAAATAAAAGATATCATTGAAGGAGATGCCAGATTTACAGATCGTGATATTGCACGAAAGGAAGGCATATCACTATCAACGGTTCACTTTATTTTGAAAAGGCATTTGAAAGTCAGAAAGACTTGTGCTAGATGGATGCCACATCTGTTGACCGATAAGCAAAAGAGGCAACGGGTTAAGGTGGCCAAAAAGCTGCTTCAAATGTTTCCAAATTATGACAATAAACAGTTTGTCGATGTCGTCACAGGTGATGAAACTTGGGTCCATTATTTTGAGCCCGTCAGAAAAGTAAGCAACAAAATCTTGGCCACTATACACAGCAAACGCCCAATAATTGCCTAACGGTCTTTGAGTGCAAAGAATGTTTTTTTGTTATTTTCGTCCCTGGTGAAGGAGTCGCAATAAAAGTGCCGGTGAAAAAGGGCAAAAGTATCACTTGGAAGTACTACAAAGACGTAGTACTTAAGAAACTAAAAAAAGTATTATAAGAAACGACGCCCTGTCACTGGTTTTAAGCATATCCGTCTTCTACATGAAAATGCCCACGCTCATACCTCCGCAATAGTTTCGGCGTGTTTGAAAAAAGAAAAGGTAACTGTTTTGCCTCACCCCCCGTATTCTCCAGACCTTGTCCAATGTGATTTCTTTTTGTTTCCGGAATTGAAATCCTTCCTTGCTGGACGGAAATACAAGTCCCTACAGGCACTTGGATCTGTCATTCATCAGTACCTTATTTCTGTGTCCAAGTCAGTGTACCGTGACGTCTTCAAGAAGTGGATACATCGGCTGAAACTTAGCATTTCTAGCCACGGGGAGTACTTCGAGGGCATGAAAGCTAACTTGAAATTTTAAGTCTCCAGATAGAAATAAGCAATACATTTCGAACATCCCTTGTAGATGTTTCTGGGGATCATAAATTAATTGTTGATATTTCAGAGAACAACTTGGAAAATTCACATATCTACCAACGTTTATTAAGGAAGTTCTTAGATATTACAGTCCGGTGCCAATGATTGGGCGGAGACACACTGACACACCGATTGTTTTAGATGGTATAGAGATTCCTGTAGGTGTTAGTATTTGGGTACAAATTTACTGTATACATCATAATAAAGATGTTTGGCCAAATCATGAGGTGAGTATTAGATAACATATTTCTAAACATTCTGCGGGGTCGTATTCTAGACTAATAGAATCTATCATTGGGTTTGATAGAGGATAGGGAAATCCCAACCCGAGGGTGATCGGTTCCATCGGGAACGAGCCTTGAACACACAAATATTGATCAGTGAATCTACTTGCTACGCCCATTACAACGTACCTAGTTTTGAAAAGGGGGCGGGGCTTAGGCGCCTGAAAAGCATTATGACATGTACGTCCGCAAAAAATTCTTCTGACCAAGTTGATGTGTGAAAAATTTAATGAAAATAAATTCATATGAGATCCCTCATGAAAAAGCAAGATTATCATGATAAAACACATCGATATTAAAAACGGAAAGTGCCATAATATAAGTGTTTATAAGGAATTCAGTCCATACTTCAATGGTTGACAAAAAAGCGTTTACCGTTTGCAAAGATTTTTCTACTTTTTCGGTTATTTTGGCCGAATATTCCATTAAAATATATCAAAATGAGATTCGTCATCAAAAAGCATCGTTATCATTACAAAAAACATGAATGTTTTTCAAGCAAAGTGTCATAATATCCGATTTTACGAAGAACGTTTCGATATTATAAAGTGTGCTATTTTTAGTAACAGATCGTTATTGAAAAGGGCGGATCTAGGTAGAGTAGGACTCATTGCAGTGTGAAAGTTAATATCAATCTTTTTTGATTCCGTAGACAATTTAATAGATTAGCTTACAATTTTTTAATACATTTTGACCTTTTGACGTTTAATTGTTGTTAAAATAGGAGTGAATCGCGTATTATTTAGAAGTGCTGCACGTTGAGTGTGAGATAAGCCCATGTGAGATAAGATTTTCCAACACCGCTATTTTTAGTAACATTTAAGGATTTTTCTATCTGGTTAGTGAGAAATATGTATTTACTATTGATAAGAAGTATATACTTGTATCTAAAAACATGTAACATTTAAGTTTAATTTAAATTGAAGGGTTTGTTTTATATGATCAAGATTTGCTGTATTTTCATGTCACTTTTCCACTAATTAATTGTGTTGTAACGCTACTTGTTCAGACACGAATTAATAACTTTAAACATATGATAATTTTATGATAATACTGTTGTGTTTTTTTATTATATCACTTTTTTTCTCTCTATATTCTGTTTAAGGTATTTGATCCAGAAAGATTCAGTGCAAATCAAAGAGATGAAACAGATATTTATGGATTTATTCCATTTTCAGCTGGTTCTAGGTAATAAAAATATTTAAATTTTGAACCATTTATTAAACGCACTTTCCAAATAATTAATAATAATATAATAATGATAATAATAATGGGCACCTGAGTAGAACCATCGACGTTCTGTAAGCTAGAAATGATACAATCGGAAGACGCTCGCGCGGCTCGAACCTACAGCGGTGAGAGGCAAGCGGTTTGATGTTATGACTGGACAACGCAGGCAAAGAAAAACACAAATATTTTATATATTATCCGTCAGTATGTAAATGACTGTTCCCTAATTAGGAAACAACTTTAGTATATATGTATATGTTTATGTTTTGTGTACAGAACTTAATTCTATATTTATGATAAAGATCTTGTTATTTTTCTGAATTTCTGAAATTATTTTACAAAAAAAAACAAACAAACACGATTTGTTCATCTTTCAGAAATTGTATCGGACAGGTTTTTGCAATGAATGAAATCAAAATTACAATTGCCAAACTAGTTAACAGGTACATGTTTTATTTTCGATCTTTTTTTATAGTTTAAGTTCACAAAGTTTACCTTTGAATTATAGGTAATTTTTTTACACAAGAATAATTTTTTACATTAGAATGCTCAAATCATAAAACTAATTTTGTTTAATCAATAAAATTATCTGAAGACGATTTCAAAACCGGAAACCAAATAATATTACTCGATCACACTAACCGCGGCTAGATTTTTATACATTCTTTCATTATTATGCCCCCACTTCAAAGAAGAGGGGGTATATTGCTTTGCACTTGTCGGTCCGTCGGTCCGTTGGTCCGTCGGTCCGTAGACCAAATGGTTTCCGAGTGATAACTTAAGAACGCTTAGGCCTAGGAACTTCAAACTTGGTATGGTGATTGGTCATGACCAGCAGATGACCCCTATTGATTTTGAAGTCAAGGGGTCAAAGGTCAAGGTCGCATGTAAAAACGGTTTCCGATCAATAACTAAAGAACGCTTAGGCCTAGGAACTTCAAACATGGTATGGTGATTGGTCATGACCAGCAGATGACCCCTATTGATTTTGAGGTCAAGGGGTCAAAGGTCAAGGTCACATTGACCTTGTAGGTAAAAACGGTTTCCAATCAATAACTAAAGAATGCTTAGGCCTAGGAACTTTAAACTTGGTATGGTGATTGGTCATGACCAGTAGAAGACCCCTTATGATTTTGGGGTGAAAGGGTCAAAGTTCAAGGTCACATTGACGTTGTAGGTAAAAACCGTTTCCGATCAATAACTAAAGAATGCTTAGGCCTAGGAATTTCAAACTTGGTATGGTGATTGGTTATGACCAGCAGATGACCCCTATTGATTTTGGGGTCAAGGGGTCAAAGGTCAAGGTCACATTGGCCTTGTACGTAAAAAAGGTTTCCGATCAATAACTAAAGAACGCTTAGGCCTAGGAACTTCAAACTTGGTATGATCATTGGTCATGACCAGCAGATGACCCCTATTGATTTTGGGGTCAAGGGGTCAAAGGTCAAGGTCACATTGACCTTGTAGGTAAAAATGGTTTCCGATCAATAACTAAAGAACGCTTAGGCCTAGGAACTTCAAACTTGGTATGGTGATTGGTCATGACCAGCAGATGACCCCTATTGATTTTGGGGTCAAGGGGTCAAAGGTCAAGGTCACATTGACCTTGTAGGTAAAAACAATTTCCGATCAATAACTAAAGAACGCTTAGGCCTAGGAACTTCAAACTTGATATGATCATTGGTCATGACCAGCAGATGACCCCTATTGATTTTAGGGTCAAGGAGTCAAAGGTCAAGGTCACATTGATGTTGTAGGTAAATATGGTTTCCGATCAATAACTAAAGAACGCTTAGGCCTAGGAACTTTAAATTTGGTATGGTGATTGTTCATGACCAGTAAAAAACCCCTATTGATTTTGGGGTCAAGGGGTCAAAGGTCAAGGTCACATTGACCTTGTAGGTAAAAACAATTTCCGATCAATAACTAAAGAACGCTTAGGCCTAGGAACTTCAAACTTGGTATGGTGATTGGTCATGACCAGCAGATGACCCCTATTGATTTTGGGGTCAAGGGGTCAAAGGTCAAGGTCACATTGACCTTGTAGGTAAAAACAATTTCCGATCAATAACTAAAGAACGCTTAGGCCTAGGAACTTCAAACTTGGTATGGTGATTGGTCATGACCAGCAGATGACCCCTATAGATTTTGGGGTCAAGGGTTCAAAGGTCAAGGTCACATTGACCTTGTAGGTAAAAACAATTTCCGATCAATAACTAAAGAACGCTTAGGCCTAGGAACTTCAAACTTGGTATGGTGATTGGTCATGACCAGCAGATGACCCCTATTGATTTTTGGGTCAAGTAGTCAAAGGTCAAGGTCACATTGACCTTGTAGGTAAAATAGTTTCCGATCAATAACTAAAGAATGCTTAGGCCTAGAAACTTCAAACTTGGTATGGTGATTGGTCATGACCAGCAGATGACCCCTATTGATTTTGGGGTCAAAGGGTCAAAGGTCAAGGTCATATTGACCTTGTAGGTAAAAAAGTTTTCTGATCAATAACTAAAGAACCCTTATGCCTAGAAACTTCAAACTTGGTATGGTGATTGGTCAATGACCAGCAGACAACCCCTATTCATTTTGGGGTCAAGGGGTCAAAGGGCAAGGTCACATTGACCATGTAGGTAAAAAATGGTTTCCGATCAATAACTAAAGAATGCTTAGGCATAGGAACTTCAAACTTGGTATGGTGATTGTTCATGACCAGCAGATGGACACCCTATTGATTTTGGGGTCAAGGGGTCAAAGGTCAAGGTCACATTGACCTTGTAGGTAAAAACGGATTCCGATCAATAACTAAAGAACCCTTAGGCCTAGGAATTTTAAAACTTGGTATGTTGATTGGTCATGACCAGCAGATGACCCAATTGATTTAGGGGTCAAATGTCAGGGTCACATTGACCTTTTAGGTGAAAACAGTTTCCAATCAAAACAAAAAGAACGCTTAGGCCTGGGAAACCCTTTCAAACTTGTTTTTGGGGGTTTTGGGGTCATGACCAGCGGGAATGACCCAAATTAATTTGGGGTTCAAGGGTTCAAAGGCCCAAGGGTCACATTGACCTTGTGGGAAAAAAAAATTTTCCAACCCAATAATTTAAAAAAAACGCTTGGGCCCTTTGGAATTTAAAATTTTGGTTTTGGTGATTGGTCATGACCACAGAGGGCCCCTTTTTTTTTGGGGGTCAAGTATCAAAGGTAAAGGTCACATTGACCTTGTGGGAAAAAAAAAGTTTCGATCAATAACTAAAGAAGGGCTTGGGCCCAAAGAAACTTAAAATTGGTATGGGGGATTGGAAATAAACCAGCAGTTTAAACCCCTTTTTGTTTTTGGGGAAAAGGGAAAAAGGGTTAAAGGGTCAAAATTTGCCCTTTTGTAGGTAAAAAAGTTTTTTAAATCAAAAAATTTAAAAGAAACCCTTATCCCTAAAAAATTTTCAAACTTGGTATGGTGTTTGGGGTCATGACCACCCAAAACCAACCCCCCTATTATTTTGGGGGTAAAGGGGTCAAAGGGAAAGGTCAAAATTGACCTTTTAAAGGAAAAAATGGTTTCCGAATAAAAATAACTAAAGAATGCTTGGGCATAGGAACTTAAAAACTTGGTTTTTGGTTTTTGGGGTCATGCCCAGAAAGATACCCCCTATTGATTTTGGGGTAAAGGGGTCAAAGGTAAAGGGCTCAAAATTTGACCTTGTGGGTTTTAAAAAAACTTTTTCCGACCCAATTTAATAAAAAACCCCTTGGGCCTAGGAATTTTCAAATTTGGGTTATGTTAAAATTGGTAAAGGGAACAGCAAAATGCCCCCAATTGATTTAGGGGTCAAATGTCGGGGTTTTCACTTTGGGCCCTTTTTAGGTGAAAACATTTTTTTCCAAATCAAAAACTTAAGAACGTTAGGGGGGAGAAATTTTCCCAAATTTTGGTATAAATTGTTTTGGTCATGACCAGCAGAGGGACCCCTATTGTTTTTTGGGATAAAGGGGTCAAAAGGGTTTCAAGGTCACGTTTCCCTTTTGTAGGTAAAAACGGTTTCTGATAAATTTAACAAAAGGGAATGCATTGGGCCCGGGGGAATTTTTTAAAGGGGGTTTATGTGATTGGTCATGACCGGGTAGATAAACCCCTTTTATTTTGGGTGTCAAGGGGTCAATGTCTTTTTTGACCTTTTTATTTTAATGTTTGGTTTGTGCCCCCAAAAACTCAAAAAAACTAAAAGTTGCCTTGGTTGTTATTTTTATTTTTTAAACTAAAAAGTTTTGGTATACACTTTTAAAGGCTTATGAAATTTATAAAAAAATTTGGGCCCTTTTCTTTAATGAGGCCCTCCCCAAAATTTTAAAAAATTTATGCATATTTTTTATTTGTAAGATTTTTTTAAAACTTTAATTGCTGCACACAACCTAGGGGGTCCCCCAATAATTTTTTACCTTGTGAACTAGTCTTTGACCTGTAAAATACTAGATAACCCTTATTAATTGTTTTTCACTGGGTCAGAAGTATGCATTAAACCTGATCATATGACCCCAATTGGCTGCCCGGGTAGGGGGGATTAAAATGTTTTACAAACATATTTTTGTTTTAATTGAAAAATGGTGATGATTTAAAGAAAATTTTGGGTTTTTACAAAAAATTTTATTTTCAGTTTCCCATTGGTGTTGGGAAACCTTTTGAGCTTTAGTTTTGTTTTCCCGGGAAACCCAACCCGTACTAAGTAATGGGTGTTTTAGTTTTTTTGCCTCAAGGAAAAAAACAGCTTGCCCCCCAAGTGGGTTTGAAAAACCCTTTGCGGATTTGCGATCTTTTGATAACTTTGTCTGACGTGTTAAACCACTCGGCCAAAATTTTTTGTTTAAATTTTTGTTATTGTTGTTTTTGTCGTCGTTTTTCGTTCCTCAATTTTTTCGTCATCCATATTTTCTTCGTATTCGTCAGCGGGTATTTTATTATTATTATTTCCCAAGATTTTTTCAATTGCACGTTTTTTGAATTTTCGAAAGGGCTTTTTGGAAAACAGGGTCATGGTTTTTGGCAAAAAAATCTTAAAAATTTAATTTTAAAAATAACAAAAAAATGAAAAAAACCCCCTTTTTGAGCTTTCCTTTTCCCTATATGCATGCATATTTATTTTAGAAATTGTATTTTAAAAAAAGAACATTTAAAATTTTACAAAATATGGGAAAAGTTTTTATTTTAAATTTTTTTAATTTGGTTTAAAGGGTTTGAGTTTCCCTTTTTGAAACCCGGGGAAAGAGCCCGGGTTTTGCTACCAGTATTATCCCTTGAGGGCTCAAAATGGATTTCACGTGAAACTTGGGTAGAACGGAACATTTAAATTTTAACCCCAAATTTTAAATTTAAAAAATACCAATCTTTTAAAACTTTTAAAACGAAAAAATTGATTTTTGAACATTTAAGTTTAAATCATGTCTC